TCTCATTTCGGTCCCTTTCTAATGGCATGCCTCTCATTTCTCCCTCATAAATAAACCACTGGAATTAACGTTTATTATGCCTTAGCATAGCATTTGTCTTTTTTCTGTTGTTTTTGGGCCATGCCCAGTGGTGCTTAGGGGTTACTCCAGGCTCTGCACTCAGAAATTAGTTCTGGTGGTGTTGGGAGACTATTTGGGATTGAACCTGGGTCAGCTGCCTGCGGGGCAAATATCGTCCCCGCTGTATTATTGCTCTGCCTCTGCCAGCATATGTCTGGAACGTCTAAAATCATCAAACAGATGTTCAGACTTGAATTGAATGCACATTGCTATTCTGTTTTCTTTTTTTGATATGATACATATCTTTCACTTAAATTTTTGCTTTTATTATATTGCACAATTTCATATCTATGTGTGTGTATACCAGATTACAATATTGTAATATTGTAAAGTAGTATAAGTAGATCTGTACACATTGCTATTCTAAACACTTGGAATGCATGTTTTCCTTAGTATAGGGAAAAGTCATGGTTATAGGTAAGAAAACTCTAGGTGTAGTATAATATGTATATTAGTAACACAGTCTGTAAGCTTCTGTGTGTAGGAGTGGGATCACAAAAGGTTCTGAAATGAAACATTTTTCAAATATTTAGATTGGTGGCAAAGTATGTTGTGATTTGATGTAAATCTTTTAGAGGTTTTTTTCCCTCTTTCCACTTAGTGTGCATATTTTAAAAAATTGCTATAGTGACTCAGGTCCTCATATCCATAAGGCAGGTGATTTTCCGTCCCAGCCTTAGTAATGCATTTGAATATGGGGTGCTGTGCCAAACAATTTAGGGGGGTTTAAATAAAATAGGGCTGGAGCGATAGCACAGAGGTAGGGCGTTTGCCTTGCGTGCAGCCAGCCTGGTCGAGCCAGGTTCGATTCCTCTGCCCCTCTGGGAGAGCCCAGCAAGCTACTGAGAGTATCTTGCCCGCATGGCAAAGCCTGGCAAGCTACCCATGATGTACTCGATATGCCAAACACAGTAACAACGAGTCTCAAAAAAATGGAGACGTTACTGGGCCTGCTCGAGCAAATCGATGAACAATGGGAGGACAGTGTTTGTTTTGTTGGACAAATAAAATAGTGTGTATGTGTGAGTGTGTGAGTGTGTGTGTGTGTGTGTGTGCGCGCGCGCGCGCGTGCCCCATTTTCTTTTATAAACTCTTTAGAGAATAAAAAATCCTAGCACTTAGTACTCTCTGGGTGATATGGTCATTAGACATGGTCCTGCGGTGCCTGCACAGAAGCAGCCAACAATAATTGGTATATCTCTGTGCCAGGTGTCATGCTGGGTTCTTGTGGGGGCAAATCCATCTCCTTATTCTGTCATAGCAATCTTGCTGTTCCTTGTGCATGTTTACCAGTGTGCAAACCAACATAAGCCTTGTTAAGAATTCGTGTTTTCTTACTTTAGTTAAATCTGAAGAGTATGGTGTCTTTTAAGACAATTAGGAAATACAGAACTTATGAAAATCTAAGACAAACCAAGATGCACAACTCAGAGTCCTCTTTGGGGTTTGTGAGATTAGGAACTAGTTCTCCAACCCATCTCATTTACAACTGTTCCATTTGTGGCATTTATATTGCATGGTTAACAGCAGAGTGATTGCATAAGAGTCACAATGGTTTTCTGAAAAGTAGCATGGAGAAATGGAAACAATAACTGTGTAAATAACACAGCAATGAGAACATCTCTTCGGATTTCAAATGGTGTATTTTAAAAACTTCATCATTTTCTTAAATAGTGTTTTCTCCCAAGTTTATAGTTTTCCTAGTTTTGCCTTTGCCTGAGAAAATATCCATAAAATTTCATTGACTTCTCATATTTTATTGGTACTTTCGTTGCCTTTTTTTTTACTTGCAAAATAGCTTTTCACTAATGAGATGAGTATTATACTTTATAAAAACAGCAAAGAAAGTAAAAAAAATATACATAATTTTAACATCCAGGTAGTCTTCTCTAAATGGAATGATTTAACTTTCAGGGGGCATTTATACTTTTTTATGGTTTTGCTCAACACACTTTGTATAGATTTACACACACATTTTTAATGAATTTACACACACACACACACACACACACACACACACACACGATTCTCTTTCCTTTCTGAAATTACTGCCAGCCACCAGGGCGCCTTTGGAAAAGGGCCCTGACTGCTCAAAGTCAGGGCTTCACAAAAAGCTTCTGGCACTGGTGGTTGCCAATAACAATGATTCTAGAGTCTCTGGGCGCCAACCCAGCATGCTCTCGGGACCACAGCTGCCAGACATGGTGGGATGCCAGCCTTCAGGCCTCTTTTTCCTCTCACTGAGGGGACTTGAGGCTTTTGTTTTCAGGTCACCTGCTGGTGAGAGGTACTCAGTTCTTCTCTGGATAGTCTTTGCCTTAGCTATGTTGCAAATGTCTTAAGCTAGATTTAATCCTACTTGGTCTTCTGTTGGCAGTGCTCATCTTTAGAAAAGTCAGCTAAGAGGTGCCCTTTAAATGCTTTTTTAAAAGGAGAGAATTGGGGCTGGAGATAGTGCAGTGGGGAAGGTGCGTGCCTTGCTTGCAGCTGACCTGGATTTGATCCCCAGCACTCCATGCGCTCCCCACCTCCCCAGTCTTGCCAGGAGTAAACCCTGAGTATAGCTGGGTGTGAGCCCAGAGGGGGGTGGGGAAGACAGAGGGGATGGAGGGGGAAAGATGAGAATATGAATCACTTCCTACTGGAGCTTAACATTTTCATCTTATTTTTTTCTTTCCTTTGGGTGATAGCAGATTTTTCTATGCCTACTTTGCTCTTCAGTTTGTTCCCTTGTCTTGTGAGGGTTCACTTTGCACAGAGCCTACTGCAGACTCTTATTTTCTGCACACTTAAAGTTGCATGGCTGAATGTCGAGGTGCTGAGTCTGGAGGTGAGTGGCAGGAGGAGAAAGGCTCAGTCTTTCTTTAGTTTAATTCTCACTCCTTTGAGAGCAGGAGCCTCCTGCTCATCTCAAATTCTCTGTTCCCCAGACCTTCCTCACCTGTGATTTGCTGAATGAGTGTCAGTACTGAATGCTGATACCAAGTGGTAGAAGATAGACCAGACCCTGACCTGGAAAATTCTAGAAGATTGACAGTGATCATATAATGCATAAATAAAACAAGATAACGTCAGGGAGTGACCAATGAAGAAGTGATGTAACAGATGCTGTTGGAATGCATATGTGTGTTCTTTGCTTTAAAGTGGTTACCCAGAAAGGGTCTTTTGAGGAGATGTTACTTCCTTTGAGTTCTAAAGATTGATTCTTTACAAGATACTGTAATGCAAAGGTTCTGAGTTCCAGAAACAGGAAGCAGTCTGGTGAGATATAGGAAGATTGGAGATGAACGTGGAGTGCAGAAGAGCACTGCTGGGTTAGACAAAGCTTGGAGCCGTGGGTTCCAGCTCAGAGGCAGGATTTATTCTTAGTGCCATTGGTGAATTGAAATGCTTGAAGATGCTTCATTCCATTTATCTCCTGAAATGTAGTTATCTGCAAAGATTCATAGGTTATATCCTATTAAATTTGTATCTGACCCAGGTGAAATAATGAAGCGGGATGTTAAACCCCTGTTTAAAATTCTTTTTTGTTTTTGTTTTTGGGCCATATCTGCCTGTGTTCAGGGCTTATTCCTGGCTCTGTATTCAGGGATCACTTCTGGTGAGACTTGGGGGACTGTATGGGATGTCTGAGATTGAACCTGGGTTGGCCATGTGCAAGGCAAGTCCGCTACCTATTATACTGTTACTCTGGCCCCACCCAAAATATATTACCTTTTATAAAATGTACATACTAGAATATGTACATAGATAGAAATAGGGATGTTTTTGGTTTTAGTATACAGAGATATTGATTGCGTGGGGAGTCGGTTTCCTAGTTTCTTCCTTACTAATTCAGCATAGCTCATTTCTTTGTAGCACTTTCCCGTTCTCTTTTCCCTTCCCTCTGTTGTTGATGTTACAGTTGACTGGGGTCACATACACACACACGCTAGGTTGTGGTGCTGGCACATTTAGTTGTGCTTGCTGAGAGGGTGTGTGTGTGTGTGTGTGTGTGTGTGTGTGTATGTATGTATATATGTGTGTGTGAGAGATTCCTGGCCCCAGTGTCTACTACACCCTTGCAGGTACTAGCTGGGGTCACTCCCTTCTGTGGCAGTACTTGCAGTGTGACTTGTAAATCTCTTGCATCACTGGAGAATATATCAGTGCTGCCAAGCACAAACAACAGAGCTGCCCAGATCATACTCGGCACTTGTGAGAGACACTGGAACCTCCTCTTTGCTGCGAGGCAGGTGCTCTTAGTCACTGACCCTTCTATGGCAATTACTACTTGAGACCAGTTGAGCTACCCCTAGAAAGTAACAAAAGGAAAGTGTGTATAGGTGTCTCATTCCCAAGCCCTTTGTCTTCAGTTCTATAGGCATAAATAGGAAATGAAAGAGGAATGATAGAATTCTGTTTGCTGCGGAGGGGTGTGGGTTGTTGCATTGTTTAGTTCGTTTTGTTTTGGAGCCATGCCCGGCAATGTTCAGGAGTTACACCTGGCTCTGTGCTCAGGAATTATTCCTGGCAGTGCTCGGGGCCATATGAGATGCTGGGGATTGAATGTGGGTTGACGACATTCAAGGTAAATACCCTGTCTGCTATAGGATTGCTCTGGCCCCTGTTGCATTTTTTTTTAATGCTAAGTTTTTATAGCCTCGATAAATGTTCATTAGTTTGTTGTAAGGATTAAATGAGATCGTTCATGTGAAAACTTCTCTGGGGCCTGGCTTTTAGTAGGGGCTCAACAAGTGTTTCATGGGTTTGAAGCTAAGTGGCACAGGGCTCAGAAATGACTTAGATTTTCCCCGTGTCTCAGCACTTTGTTAAAATGTTTGTTTTTCTATGCTTGAATGGAGAGTAGCAGTTTTACTTTTTCTGTTTGACATTTTTAGGATGAACTGAATGATATTATCGATATTAAGGATCCAGACCACACTTCGGCAGCTGAACGAAGGCAGCAACGTCTGACTGCTGAGCTAGCCAAATTTGATTCTGATCATTATCTGTGAGTATAAAGTTTTTTGAGGATGAAGTAATTTATACAGCCATTTATGTAACAATGTGCAAGTGTCTTTTTTTTTTTTTGGTATGATAGGCATGTACCTGTTAGATATGGAAATGAGTGCTCAAAACGTGACTTTGAATTAATACACATCTGTTAGACTTCTGTGTTCTTTGTGAAATGTGGCTGTTGTTTTCTTGGTGCTTTTTGTAGGGGTCATGCCCAGGGGTGCTAAGAGGTTAGCAGGACTCTTGCTGGTGGGATAGAAGGGCATGTGGTACTGGGGGTTGAGTCTTGTAAAGCAAGGCATGGAATCTGCTACGTGAACATCCCTGACCACGGAATATTGCTTCTTGGTAGCTTATTTCAGCAATATAGAATTCCTTTAATGTTCTCCTTTGAAATTTTTTTTACCAGGTTTAAATAGAAAATTCTGAGTTCATGAGAATATCGCACTTCTCTTAGGTAGAATTTTATGGTAATTCATGGCATATAAGTATGGAAAAAAATTGGGAGAGGGTGGGTTTTCAGGCCACACTTGGTGGTGCTCAGGGTTTATTGCTGGCTCTGTGTTCAGGAACCACTCCTGGCAGTATGCAGGGGACCATATGTTGCATAAGGAAGACCAATGCATTCCCTGATGTACTGGATCCCCTGCCCTGCCATGTTTTAATTTCTTTAAGAATTTGAATATCCTTGTGTTGGCAGTTCTTGGTTGATCCAGGATGTTCCTAATACTGTCATCCACTTGCACTTGTAACAGAGCATTTGTTTCAAATTGGCAAGAATTCTTTGTTATAGTCTTCACAGAGAACCTAATGCTCAATTTTGTTGTTAATAGTGTTGTTAGCCATCACGTATGTCAGGCTTGTGTTTGCCTGTGGAATTTAATTGGGTATGTAAGTGATCACTTGAAGAAGGATTATGGTATCTCTTGGTGGCCAGGAGAGCAGCACCTATTTGAGGATGTGATTGTCTTCTGGTCTCTGTGATAGGCTCTGTGATAGGCTTTCTTAGCATATGTGTCATCTGTTGATGTTGCCTTAATTATTCTTCCTAAGCTCCGGGCCTACAGTTTCTAAGCTGCTAATATATGCAGCTATAATCATGTTTCCTGATAGTTGTATAAAGCTTTTTCATTTATCAAGTGCTTTCAGGTGATTTATTTTTACTCCGTTTTCAGAACAGCTGAGGAAAGCGGGTGGAAGGACTTGCCCAAGGTCACATGGCTGCTACGTGGTCTGACGGGGACTTGAAAGGAATTCTTCCCTTTTCATATCAAGTCTTCCCTTTTCATTTTGTGCTTCCTTTTCATGTTCACTCTTCACTTAAACTACTCTTTCTCTTGTAACTAACATCCTATCTCCTGTGGCACAGTGGGAGACTTAATTGGAATGGAAGAAATGTATCTTGTAATGTACAAATGCATTGAGTGATGTGTACTGATGATTGGTCAAATTCTTCAGCTTCCTATGTGAACTGGGGGAAGAGCAGGATGTGTTATACTTGGGAGGATATCTGAGATCCAACTCCATTCATGTTGCCATTTCTAATTACCTTTATCTCGCCAATTGTGATTTTAAAGGTCCACTGAAGAGTAATTTAAAGAAACCTATTTAAATCATGCTTCATATTAAAAGTGAAAATCCGTTGTCAGCATCTTTTCTCAGGCAAGTAGTAACAATGAATTTTATACGACTGAAATTTCAAGTGGGAGGGAACTTAATTAGAATAACTGCCAATCTCTTCTATAAAGAAAAGAAAAACTATGGCCTGAGAGAATTAGGGAATGGGAATTTCTAGGTAGCAGTGTGTTTTTATGTGTAGCCCTTATTTTTTTTTTCTACCAAAGCCAGTGTTCTTTATCCAGAAACTAATTTTTCTTCATAGTCTTACAAGAATGTACTTTCTATTTTCTTAAACCTCACGTTTAAATTTAATCACAACCAATCTAGAAACTGGGCACTAGGAAGTAAAGGTCTTTGTAATTTTTCTGGTAGCAATAAGATTTTGGCTAATTAAAAAAATATATGTATATAAAATATATAAAAATATGTATATAAATATATAATATATTTAAAATACATATATTTTAAATTAGTCAATTATATATTTGTATTTATGTGCACAAACATCTGCATGTATATATACATATATCTATATATACCTATATTTATCTACATGTCTATTGTTTTTGGGTCATACCCGGTGGTATTCAGAGCTTATTTCTGGTTTTTTGCTCAAGGATCACTCCTTGAAGGATTTGGGAGACCATCCGGGGTGCCTGTCAACCACATGCAAGGCAGATGCCTAAATTCTTGTACTATCTCTCTCGTCCTTATTGTAATTTTTGAATTACTCATTTACTGACTAACCCAAATCCCAAGTGAAAATCTTTACATTTCCCATGATGATTTTATTTTGTATATCTGTTTTTTATTAAAACACCATGATTTACAAAGTTATTCATAATACAGTTGTTTCAGGCACTTAGTGTTCCAACACCACCAGTGAGACCTTCCTTCCAACAGTGTCCTCAGTTTCCCTCCCAATCCCAATCTGTCCCCATAGTCACATAAAATACTTACTTTTTATTGCTTACTCCAACAAAACTTAAAGAAATGACAAATAGAATGATTAGAAAATAAGTCAGTAAGAACCAGTTTGTGATAGCTAAATAATTTAAACCTAAGTAAATAAGAAAGTTAAAACCATAATACAATATAATAAAATGCCTAGTCTCATTAACACACACACACACACACACATTTCTCCCTACACTTTATTTAAGCACTTGGTTTACAAGGTTGTTCGTGATGATTTGTTACAGGAATTTGGTATTCCAGCATCAATCCCGCCACCATCACCTTCCCTTCATCATTGTCTCCAGTTTTCCCAACCATCCTTGCCACAGGGGAGGCCCACAATAATTTATTTTATAATTCTTGTTACCAATAAATTGCTAACGGAATGATCAAAAATATTTCCTTAGAAGAAAATTAATGTAAGTTGTTGTATCTCGTCATGGAGACTCTAAGTCTTTGTTTGAGGGATTACTAAAATGTTGTTATAAGTTAAGCCTTCAGTATTGTTTCATTAGCTGAATTGGTTGCCTTCTACTGTTAATGTCCTCCTACTCTGGTGTGCCACTACCGGATCATCGGTGTTGCAAAGTTTGAAGATACCACATGGCATGGCTATGAATGTGGCCTTGTGATCCAGAAAACCCAAAATTTTAAGCTGGATGGTAAAGCTGGAGTTAAATTTTTAACTAGGTAGGGTCAAAAAGAATTTTTAACTCTTTGGGGCTGTGTGGGTGGATGAATGTTTTCTCAATGGGGAAAAGAGAAAAAGACTTACTTTATTATTATTATTTTTATATAGGAGTACTGCTATTTATTCAATCATTAATTAAGCTAATTGAATTGAACTCCACATGCCCTTTTTTATTCAGAATGTTAATTTTATTTTATTATTATTTTTTCCCCTTTTTATTGATTCACCGTGAGATAGTAACAAAGCTTTCGTGTTTGAGCTTCGGTCATACAATCATCGAACACCCATTCCTCCACCAGTGCACATTTTCCACCATCAGAATCCCCAATCTCCCTCCACCCCCCATTCCAACCCTTCCCCTGCCTGTGTGGCAGATAATTTCCCCCATACTCTCTCTGCTTTGGTTACATTTGATATATTGACACCAGTCCCACCACCACTCAAACCTGCCGGAAAGGCAGTGCTAGGCAATTTGTTTTGTATTGCTCGTTATGGATAGAATAGAATGTTCAGGAAGTTCTGTGTCTGGTCTTTTCCGGTAGCTTTAGTTTATAGTCTGTGGGGCTCTTGGCCTTTGATGAGATTACATGGCGCTGGGGGAAGTTTGTGGGTGTGACTGCCAAGCTACTGGAAAACTGGGGACCTTTGGGGAGGAGTCCCAGTCCTGATGCAAGTGGGCTTGGTGTCACGGGTTCCTGTATAACTGGGTTTTCCTGCTGGTCTGCTGTTGGGTGAGATTCATCCCATCTTAGGTGAGCTTGTTCCCTCTTGGGTGAGGCTCATCCAAGTGTGTGGAGAGTGGCCTTGGGCATGGCAGTGGTTGGGTTCTGGAGGTTTTCGGCTGCCAGGGTTTTCCTTTAGACAGGGAGGGAAACTAAACCTGCCCCCCTCCAAGATTTCCCGGTGAAGACAGCCTGGGGTGGGGTCAGGACATTCTCTTCTGGGAGCTTTAGTATATTCTCTCTGGGTCTTGGCTGTTGATGAGATTACATGGCACCTGGGCAGTTTGTGGGTGTGACTGCCAAGCTACTGGAAAACTAGGGACCTGGGGGGAGGAGGCCCAGTCCTGATCCAAGCGGGCTTGGAGATCTTAGTCACGGGTTTTAGCGTATCTGGGTTTTCCTGCTGGTCCACTGTTGGGTGAGGTTCATCCCATCTTGAGGGAGGCTCGCACCCTCTTGGGTGAGGCTTGTCAGAACGTGTGTGGAGAATGGCCTTGGGCATTGCAGTGGTTGGGTTCTGGAGGTTTTCGGCTCTTTAGGTTCTTTTTGGGGTGGGGAGGGAAACTCAGACTGCCCTCCTTCAAGGTGCCCCGGTGAAGACAACCTGTACTTCTCATTGGGTTCTGGAAGCTGGTGGCTGCTGGGATTTTTAGGGGAAAGGCAGAGGGACGACGCCTGCCCCTGTTTGAGGCACCTTGGTGAAGTTGTCCTGGCTTAAAGTTTGGAGGCATCTCTGCAGTGAGCTGCTCAGTTTGGAGATTCTTCTGTGTGTCTCTGGATCCTTAAGGAGCTTAAGTAGCAGCTGGAGGCAGTTTGTGGGCATGACTTCCAGAGTCCCATAGTGACGGTGGAGAAAGGCATATTGAGAGGGACCAGCCCATCCCCTATCCCTTGAGGCCTGGAGTTCGTTGTCACTGAACCTGTGTACTTGCACTTCTCATTGGGTTCTGGAAGTTGGCGGCTGCCGGGGTTTTAGGGGACAGGCGGAGGGACAACGCCTGCCCC